CCCTCTAATTACCATCCTATTAGTCTCCTACCCCTCTTTGGCAAAGTCTTCGAAGCCCTAATCAATGCCGAAGTGGTTAACCACCTTACGTCCCATGATCTGCTCTCAGACAAGCAATATAGTTTTCGCTACGCCTGATCTACAGCTGATGCACTTACAGCCATCACTGAAACCATTTACCAAGCCCTTCAAAATAATGGTGAGGCTCGTACCATGGCCCTAGACATCTCCAAAGCGTTTGATAGGGTTTGGCATGCCGGCCTTCTTCGCAAGCTCCAGGGTTATGGTATTACAGGTCGATTGTTTGACCTAATACAATCATTCATGTCAAACCGTGAATTGAAGGTCATTCTCAACGGATTCTCCTCCAGTTCCTATCCCACGAACACAGATGTTCCCCAAGGCTCCATTCTTGGCCCCACTCTATTCTTTATTTTCATCAACGACCTTCCTGATGCCATAGATTCCCAAGTTGGCATCTATACGGACAGCACTACAATTTACTCCTGCCTCAAAAACAAATCTAGTGTCCCTGACAAAACTAACCTGGCCGTGCCGTTAATTGGGGCAAGAATTGGCTGGTCAACTTTAATGCCTCAAAAACTAAACTGCTCTCTATTAATCACCATAGAGATCCTTCCCTGCACCCCCCCCTTAGAATGTCTGATCTTGAGAGCAACTCCTTGTGTCTGCTCGGTCTCACGTTGACTGCTGACCGGAGATGGAACAAATACATTGAGTCAATTGCTTCGTCCACCGCAAGGGAAGTTGGCTCTCTGTGCCATGCCAGGAAATTTTTCTCCCCAGAATCGATACTTCGAATATATAACTCAACCATTCGCCCTTGCATGGAGTATTGCTGCCATATATGGTGTGGGGCACCTTCTGTTTACCTCAGAGTTCTTGACAAGATCCAGAGATGGATATGTAATATAATTGGCCCTGATCTGGCATCTCGTCTACAGTCACTCTCTCACAGATGTGCCTTCACCTCTCTCTGTCTTTTCTACAAATACTTTCATGGTAATTGCTCCGATGTGCTGCTTTCACTGGTTCCCAGACTCCATGAATTCAAGCGCCCTACGAGGCTGGCATCCCGCTCCCACCCTTTCACTGTAGAAACTTTTAAATGTAGTCGTCTCTTCTACTCCAATAACCTCATACCTCGCACCTCTTGCCTGTGGAACACCCTTCCCAATTACTATAGGGTTATAGGGCTATAATCTCCAACTATTCAAATGTAATGTCAATCAACATCTCCAGTTACCTTGATCTATCCACTATCCCTCTCCTCATTCTTTCTTCTATCACTCCTATCTGCACTTGCTCCAAATCTTCTGCAACCCCCTGCATCCTAGTGGCTTCACGCCTTGCTCGGGGCGTAATGCTTAAAAAAAAAAAGAAAAAAAAAGGTATTTATTAAGCTTAGTATAAAAACCACAATCATAGGGCATCTACTGCAAATACAACTCACTACACAGTAATAATGTTCTGCTGGACTAATACCAAACAGTTGTCTTTTATTTATGTACAAATGTGTAGTAGCCAATTGAAAGAAACTGACAACATTATTTAAAAATTAAATTACACTTTTTTTATTTTAGAATTTTTAATGTTTCCAACACTTAAATGGGTACACTGTTGATTCTTTTATATGAAGAATGTTAATAAGCCAAATAATTGACACTAATAAGATGCAGCTTCCACCAAAAATATTTATTATCACTAAATAGTTGAGAGGTGGGGAATTATTACTAGTTAATATAATAGAAGACATATATTACAATTTGGGGTCGACAGTTTTCATATTTATCATTGTAATTTGTTATTTAGGCTATAAATATTATGTTTGCCAGAAAGTCCTGATTCATTTAGGAAGCAGAAAGAAAACAACAAAATTTTATGGAGCAACATCAAAATTTATTCTTCAAAATAAAGGTCATCATTCTCAATGATCTTCTGCCAGTGATCAACCAGCATCTGAATCTCTCAGATGCCAGTCCACTGGATTTGAATCAAAAACCTGTAAACAAGCTAACTTCACTTCACCAAAAATGTTGAATTGCTGATTATGGAGGTAGTGTACCATTGAGTAGAATAGGCTATAGTCACTTGGAGCAGCATTGAGACTGAATGGTAGGTGTGGAAGAATCTTAACACCATCCATCTGTTTGAACTTTTTCCCTAGTCAACTTGGCAGTGTGTGTCCTTGCATTGTCTAGCTGAAACAAAGCCCAATCTTGATTGACAAAAGCAGGATACTTCTTCTTTAGTTTGTCATACATGCAATCTAGCTGCTGGCAATACCATTTAGCATTGATGGTGTGACCATATAGAACAAACTTAAAATGTAAAATGTAGTACTTTTTGGAAATTCAACTAGATAGAGATCAAGATTTGTTTTCTTTCCTCTTCCTAAGTGAGTCAGGACTTTCTGACCAACCTAGTATGTCTTTCTGCTTTGTTCTGTTTATTAAATGAAATCTTGTCAATAAAAGTATAGAATTAACCTCTTAATAAGTTAAATGTTTAACAAAAAATTTACTTGCACAAAATAAATTATTAGATAAAGTTCTGTTATTGTAATCATTCTTTGAATTATTTGACTTGGTTTGTTTAACACTTTTTAAATTTGTATTTTTTAATTTTAATTTCAGTTGTTTTTTTATCATAACTTGTTTACACTACCATTCTAGAGCCACTAGTAAACAACAAAAGACAAGAAAGAAAGAATTAAGATTTTTGACAAGATTTGAAATCACATTCCTTTCAAGTTTATCTTACTGTGTAACTGCAGACGAAGTGAGCTATAAGAGCCCTATAATTGGATCATCTTGAACCATATGAACTCATTTTTTCTCCAATTTTTCTGTACCATATTTGCTGTTATTGACTTATCATACACTAGTATTATTAATATTATCTTAAATTATTATTGACAATCATTAATAATTTTAGATTTCTTTCATCTTAATTTCAGTTGCTTTTTATCACAATACTCATTTTACAGCCATCAGTAAACAGTAAGGAGTAAGGATTACTGATAACATATTTGTTATGAAATGAAATCAATAAATAAAATAAGAATAAATATATTTTTCCATGATGCTAGTAATAAAGGAGCTGGAAAGGTTTTTGGTCATCTGCACAACTATATTAACCCAACTTGGCTTTGCCAAACACCTATAAAGTGGTGGTGTTTAAATTCTATAAAAAGGCAAACATTTCCTTTCTCTTTCTTCCTGATGTAGCAGAACACAGATGAAGAGAATGTCTCTCTTCCTCAGTTGACTGATGACTAAACTTGCTTTCCACTACATCGTGTTTGGATGTGCTTTGCAGAATTTCCACCAATAAAGTAAGTATAATTTGTAATTTGGTTGTTCCACCTCAGAAGCACTTTTGCAGAAGCTTCACCGATGAAGTAAATACACCTTTGTGCTGTGGTCCAATGACCAAAGTAAAAGCTGACAAGCTCAACCATTATAACTCTTCTTATCCTTACCCTAATTTAGTTCTGGACCAGAAAAGAAAACAGACATATCCAAGAGACATTTAGAACTTTGTTTCCCTGTAGTTTCTATAAAATAAATGATCTGTAGTAGAACCCAAGTTTTTTTTGCTTCTTTAATTGTTTATATGTGAACAGGCATACACCTACAATTCACCAACATAACCTTTAAATCCCATATATACTTTGTTTCCAGTCTGTGCTGTTTATTGATAGTTATAAAATAATGAGTGGTTACAATGAAAATCAATAAAAATTGGAAGAAATACTTGTCAAAAGTTAATAAAGGTTTATAATATTTCATATAATAAAAGATAATATTACTGTTTTATTAAATTTTGTTGTTTATGATTACAACATTTAATCAGTTTTCCTTAATAATGTCAAATCTTTTATTATTGACAACCATTAATCATTTGAAATTTTTTTCTTATATTTTCCCAGTCATGAATAAATGTTTCTGTGTTACTTTTTAAAGTAAGATATTGAAAACAAAATTTTCTTTATTATAAGTCCAAAAAGGAAAAAAAAAATTTTTTTTATATATAATGAGTTAATGGAGTTAAATAAAGAAAAATACAATTTAAACACTTGTAACTAATTTTTTTAATTCAATTGTTTTTATTAAAATAGAAACTAGTGTAAAATAATGATGAGACTTATAACTTTAGTTAGTAAAGATTCAAATGAGAAATAAAAATCTAAATTAAAGCTGTCATTGATTGCAGAGTGGAAAAGAGGAAGAGCATAGATATATCATGAAGTTAACAATTACATCAGGTCCAAGTTAGATAAGTTTTGTAAAGATTTTGTAAGTGAAAAAAAAAATTGTGTAAAAAAAATTTTGAAATTAAATCTATTACTAAGCAAGGCAAGTTGAAGAGAAAGCATGATATGAGGTTGTTGAGGTGGGTTTGGTGGGTAAAATTTAAGAGGAAATAAATCTGTCAATAAAAGCTTAGAAACTAAAATCATCAGACTGAAACTAATGTTGGTTTTTTTATTTATTTCCAATATTTGTATTTTTAACAACTGTAGGTTGTTCTTAGGGTGAAAAAATAGCAATACAAAATAAATAATACAAATTATAAATAAAATAAACTAAATGATTTGCCACAGAGAATGAGTTGATAAAAACAAAAAGTTCTTTGCAAAACCAAAGACTAGAATCTTAGAAAAATCTTCACTTTTCACAGCTTAGATAAAATGATGTATTATCAAGGTTTATTTCTTTGAGATATTTACAGTCAAGTGTTAGATGGGGGAAATTTTCTTGAAAGGATGGAGATGGAAGTCAGGATGTTGAAATTGTCTTGAGTTCTTTTGACTTCTTGTTCCTATCATTCAAAGATCAGTGGAAGGGAGATTAAAAAAGTGAAGAGCAAATAAACAGAGAAGAAATAAAAAGTAATGATGGGAAGGTTTTAAGAATCTTTAAAAAACCTGTGAATAGCATTACATGCAAGTAGAGATTTAGAGTCAAGTAGGCTTAGGATAGAATGGTATTGGATAGGGAAGGGATTGAAGGGGAAAAGTTAGGGTTTGTTTTTGTAGGTTTTCCATGGAGAGGAATATTGAGAGAAAGAACAAAATAGAGAGCATGAGAGAATAACCAAAAGAAAGAGATAAAGAGCCAGAAAAATGAGATGAGAAATAAAGAGTTAATCAGAAAAAGAATACAAACGAGAAAAAAATAAGAATAAAAATGAGAGTGCCAAAAGAAAATAGAGGAAAGCTGAAAAAAGCTGAAAAATTTATAAGAGTGATTGTGTCTATGTGAGAGAAAAGTAAAATTCGTAGAGAGTTGAGTAAGAAACAGAAAATGTGATCATGAGAAAAGAGGAATAAGCCATAAAAAAACAAAAATAACAATTAGGAAGAAATGAGAGCAAATGAGTAAAAGGAAAAGAGCAATGAAAGAAGAAAAGGAAAAAGGAAAAAAAACAATGAAAAGGAGAGAAATGAGAGATAAAGGAAGACAAAGAGTTTAAAAAAGGGAGAGAAAATAGAAGGAAAAAACAATAGAAGAAAATGAATAATTTGAAGAGCAAACTGGAGAGTGAAAAAGGAAAAGGAAGGCTGTAAAAAGAGAAACACTGCAAAAATGAGTTAATTCAAGAATTAATAGGAAGGAAAAAGAGAAAACAGAAAGAAAGTAACTGAGCAGGAGAAAAGAAAGTATGAACCAATAAAGAAAGGAGAGAAAACAGAATGTAATACATTAAAAAGTAAGAAGAAAAAGATTGATAATGTGAAGCAAGAGAGAAAACAAAACACTCAGGAAAGTGAAAAAAGAAAGTGACAGATAGATAAAGCTAAAAAGAAAGAATAGAGAAAAGAAAAACTTTTCCTAAGAGTCAGTCAAGTGAAATTCTTATCTGTTGAAAGTAATGCAATCTTTCAAATGATATTTTTTCTCCTTGTTACTTTATCTTTTTTTCTCTAATTTGTTTTTTTTTTTTTCTTATTTTAAGTTTCTGTTTGGAAATAAATTCCATTATTAAAATTTTTATTCTGTTGAAAACATCACACCAGTACAAATGTGTACTGCCCAACAATAACCTAGCAGCTGACTTAAAGCGCATAAACCAAAAACAACAAAATGTGCACAGGAATTAAAAAAAAAAAAAATGAGGTAAAAATGGTTTGGTTTTTAAACCTATTTCAATGTTTGGCTTGTTCTTAGCAGGAGAAAAGAGATGGAAGAAAAGTTTGTTGCTCTCAATAAGACAAAGAGTGTCATCATCCTTTGGAAAAATAGAAGGATCAGAATCAGTAGTTATTTATATCACAATGCAACAATATTTTGAAAACATCTGATTTTATCTGATTTCAAAAAGGATTTTCTCTGCTTCGTTTCCATCATGTAAGGAAGTAAAATTTAATTATGGCATGGCAGTCATTTTTTGTTCATCTTATTTGCTAAAACTTTTCACTTTGTAATCTGCTTCTAGCTTGTCATCACTAACCTTAACTTTTTGAAACTACAGTTTCAGTAAAAGCCTAATTTTAACACTATAGCATGTTTATAATTTATATAGTTTTTCAGTTATTTTCTTTTTCTGTATGATTTGGAGTAAAATAATTTTCTTCTGTTGGCTGATTCTGTATGTAAAGTTAGTTTTTAGCATTTATATCTTTCAAATAATTATGTTTAGTTGTTCTATTTATTTTTGTACAAGTTGTATGAAGGTAAATCTCAAGGTAATCAAAATTGCAAAGAGATGTGAGCTTTGCCTCGTAGTTAAAAAGCAACTCATACAGACCCTTTTTGTAGTAGTGAATTTGATTCTCATTGGGGGCTCGACTGTTGTGTACCTGTTCCAAATTAACCTTAGATAAGTAAATATTAAAAATTAGATAAGAATGAAAGACACTTGATATTTCAATGTTTGTTCTACATCATCTTCAGAACATCTGAGGTTAAATAAATGAAATAGAAAAATAAATAAAATTGAATAAAATCAAATCATTTCATCACAGTTGTCTGAAATATTATTCAAAGAAATTTTAAATTCTAAAAATAAGAAAATATTGATTATGAGAAGTGTGATTCTGTTTAAAACATCTTTTATTTAACAATACAAGCCATTCAAAAATATCATGGAAATTATAATTTGGTGAATTTTGCTGCTGTTACCAGTATTTACTTACAATGTTGGTACATATTCATATGAAAAGTTTTTAATCATTTTAACAAAGAACTTTCAAATTGTTACATTAATGAGAACTAACAATTCAATTACAGAGGTTGTGTAAAAAATAATGAATCACCTCACTTATTTCCCTTCTGGTTGTCAAGGAGATAAGTCAACTTTTTCAAGAAGTACTTTCATTCATGTAAAGTGCTATGTCAAGATTTTATTATTTTACATCCATTGCACATGATTATGCTTTTAGTTATGTTTTTTAACAAACTTAAGAAAAAGTAAAATTCTTTAATAGTCATGTGCATTGTTTATAATAATTTTGAATTTTGTCATAATTTGATGGTAACACAAGCAACACTTGTGATTTAATGACAATTTTGCTCAATACTTGATTTCTTTTATGTGAAAATATTAAGATTATAAATGTTATTGTTAAGTTTTATATATATATATATATATATATATATATATTTTTCTTTTTTTTCTTTCATTAAATATGATGGACAAGGAAAATTTTATTAATTTTTTGAGTTTAAAGAAAGAAAATGAGTGACTTCTAAAAAAAGTCATCTTTTTTTTTTTTTTTTTAGTCACAAATAATGCAAGCTTAGGAAAAAAAACAAGATGATTCCATTATTTAAACATACACAAATGTACACACATACAACTCATTTTTTTGCTTTTGAGCTGATGAAGCTTAAACAGTGAAATGCATAATCACATATATTTTGAAACAATATTCTTTCATGAACATTTGCTAATTGTCAGTATTTTAAAATAGTGTCAGGATCATATACCCTAATTTAAAATATCTATCTATCTATCTATATATATATATATATATATATATATATATACACACACACAATCTATAAGCTGCAGTATTGTAGGTGTCCAAAGAAAACAATCTTTACTCATGAATACAAAATATCTAATAATTTTTGTTTGTCTTGGTTCTTTTAAGTAAACAAGGAGTTAAGCTTTAATATTGTCACTGCTGTAACATTTCAGCAACCTTCCTTAGCTCACAATGTCTCTCATCATTTTTTTGTCGATATTTCTGTTGGTGGGAAATGTTAGAACCCTTAAAATGGTTGTTAATTTTTTGCACATATTTTTGTAAGATCTGCTTTCTTGTGAGATATCTAACTATGGTATATTAGGAACACAAAGCAAAACTTTTTGGTTAGGTTTTCTGGAAATTTTATTATATCACAATTCAAAAACTGCACAGATAGATTCCTTAGAATTGATATCAACTGACTGACTTGGTTGGTCATGAAACTTGTTTATTTCTATCATATTTTATGGAGTATAATCATTCACAAAAAGGGCACTAGATGATGATTTGTTCAATTAAATCTCAGTAAATAGTGGGGGAGTTAAAAAATGGATCCTTAATTTTTAACTGATGTTCAACATGCTCTTCAGAAACTATTGATAACCAATACTCTATATTAATCCTCACAAACCTAATTCTAGCTAGGTATCATCAAGACTTATGCTCAACTGCTGTTTAAGAACTGAGCAAATGAGGGATCACCTGAAAAAATGATAAGATAACAAAACTGTATGGACGTATACCTTCATCTGCCTTTTTGGATGTATATCTATCATGATTTAGCCTTTTTTGTTAATAATTAATGTGAAGAAAATCCCATGCTGCTGCTGCTGCTTTTGGCTTATTCTGAGCACACTTTACTCCATCTGCAACCTTGTAAAGTAGTTTTCATTTTTCTGTATCTTTGCCAAAATGTACATTTTAAATGTTCCAGTTTGATTTAAAATGATGAGCATTTCTTTCATTAGTTTGCAGTATAATAGTTTTCATATTGATGCTGATTAATTTAATCTTCTAACAATGTCCTATTTTGAAATCTAGTAGAAGGGACTGTGCAGTTACTTCTCTTGCATTATCATAAAAAACAATATATATATATATATATATATATATATATAATTTAAATCTATAGTAAAAATAACTTTTTATTCAAGTTGTGTGTATGAATATATATAGTCTATTTGTATCTTACTAAGTACACTATTATTTTAAAACTGTTTACATATATTTCTCATTTTCATTGTTTTTATCAAATCATATATCCATATCATTATTCTAATCAGTATCTACTGATATCTCAATATGTGTGTGTGTATGCATATATATATAAAATATATGTGTGCATGTGTGTGTATATCAACTTGTTATATTTCTACCCAACCTCTCTCTCTCGATATATACATGGCAGAAATACATTATTGTTATTACAATGTTCAGCATTTGCCATTTGCTGGAATACAAAAAGAAAACACCCATAAAAAGTGTAAAAAAAAAAAAGAAGAAAAAAAAAAAAGGTAATGTCAAGTTTTTCATTTGGCTCTTCCTCTCTTTCTCATAACCTCACAGTCATAACTTCAGCTGACTGACAAGCTGGCCAGAAACCTGACTTTCTGAAATAATGACATCAGCCCCAAAAGAAACTGGACTGTCAGTAGTTATCTCACTAAGTGAGTCCTTGATATACATCTTCACTTTTGCAAAATGATCACTGACTTTCCCCCTAGAGTCTGTTCTGGGATGCAGGGGGATCAGCAAATTTCCCAGTGGATTTGAAAACCATCTTCCTATTCTGGTTCTTCTGTCCAGTCCTTCCTGAGAATATCAGAAATGAGTTTTTCATCAGATTGGTTGACCCCCACTAACTTTTTTGTTTCAGAATTTTTTTTGTTTCTGGACATTTTCTTTGATGGTTGAACTAATCTAATGTATGGACAGAGCTTATTATTAGTTGTCCACAACTTGGAGAAGTGGGAGCAATGCATATCAAGTTCTATCAAATAAAATATCAAATGAAAAGTAAGAACATTTCTTTGCCATTTCTAGTACATCTGTTATTTTCACCCCACCCACTTCTACCTTACCCTCTAACACACTATAGTCCAGCTGGCTGAAGGCAAAAACTTTTTCTTTGGACAAAAATCTTTTTCAGGTCATAGTTTCTGTCAGGTCAAGAGGGCAAAGGTAGGATTGGTTAAACTCAATCTGTGATAGTTGCATCTTAATTGTATTGCCTGCTTTTCTTGTTTGTTCAGAGAAGTCTTTCCAGAAGATGAGAAAGATATTTCTGTCATCACTGATCAGTCCAACTCTTTTGGTATGTCCTCTCTGCCTCCCCACTCTCTTCTTTGGTGGTCATTTTGATTTTTATTTGTTTGTTTCAAAGTTTGTTTTTTTTTTTGTTTTTTTGTTTTTTTGAACAGGCTAAATAAATAAAATGTCTGTTTTGCTTTTTCTTTTTATATATACTTTTTATTTATACTTTACTAAGTTTCATAATCATCTCAGGGTGCATTGACTGATTTATTGGGCTGGCTCATTTAATGATTATTTACATTCCATATAGCTGCAAAGATCAGTTGTTTAATTTCAATATTTAGTTTTCTGAATGATACAAGATGACACATGGGTGTTTCTTTTCCAAGAGAAGAAAACTTGAAACACTTGAGTTAAAACCACAGAAATTAAGAAATAGTTCCTTTCTCTTTTAAATGAGAAAGTACAATCTAGGCAAAAATAAATTCTTGCTGTTCTGACAAATAATTTTGAAATTCTTATTCTACTTTGAAAGCCACTGACATGATTTAAATGCAGTTTATTTAATATGTAAATGATGATCAATACAAAACTGTGTAGAAACGTTCTTTAGACATAAATGTTTTGTAAATATTCAAACAGGAGTGGGTCCAGGTATGTATACAATATTATTAAAAACAATGGACATTTTGTGTCAATTTTAATGATCAACTTTTCCAAGTTAAAATAATCCTTTTCAGACAAGGAGGAAATTCCATCAGAAATTGTCCGAAGTTAGTTTCAGAAGAAAAGTACAGGAAATATGGTCCAAGCTTGAAATTGAAATAAAATAAAAGCTTCAAGAAAGATTTTTCATTTTTAAAAACTCATTTTAAACCTTAGGTATTGCATTTTTGTAGGGGTCCCTAATGTATTTTCTGAAGTTATGGAAAGTGTTCTCCCAATGTGTCTATATGAAGAAAATATCATTTATATATCTTTGGTAGAGGAGAAGTTCTAGGTGGTAACTAAGAAATATATTTCATTCCAGGGCTTCAATAAATATTTTGGCATAGATAGGGGACATTTTTGTTCCTCATCACTGTATCACTGACCTGAAGAAAGTGGTTACTGCTGAATTAAAGTTGTTGTGGGTGAGTATGAATTTTATGATGTGGCAGATGCCCTATATGTTCTGTTTTGGAAAACCATTAGTGTGTAAAATATTCCTACAAGCCGGTATTCCTTCATGTTAGAGTATAGGGATATCACATCAATTGTCACAAAGAGTGAATTTTTGGGTTATCTGCATATTTATTGTGAAATTTGTAAGAAGTGGATTGTGTTTTTAAGGTAACTAGGAATAGGCTTGAGGATGTGGCCAATGAAATATATATTTATATATGGATTTGTATGAGCTATGAATGTGATCACTCATATGAACATAACTTTAAAAATATTTGTGGTTGATTTAGTTAACAAATAAGAAAATTTGTGCTCATAAAATGATGGATCAGCTTTATTTTAACTGACTTATAAACTGTTCCATATTTTCTTAGCTTAAGAGTTGCAATAAAGTGAAAACTCAGTTTCAGATTTTATTTTTTTTTAATTTTAGAAATGATATATTTTATATTTCAGCATGTGGATCACATCAATAAGTTTTTAGAAAATGACCGAGCATAAAAAGTCTTCCAATTTCAAACCACTGGAAAAACATCCTTTCAGGAAGCATTTCTTATGTTCATAGGAAAGGCATGAACCCAAATCTCATTGAACAATGTCTCATCATTTGAATCACATTCCTCCTTTAATAGAAGGACAAATAGAAAAAGTATTCTCTGCAAGTTTTACTTGGAGTAATTCAGTAGTTTATTGAATTTTTACATTTTGCATACCTTAAATATGTCAGTTATTGTAAGTTTTGTATGCTATTTAAATAATTTTATTAATAGAATATGAAGGAAATGAAGATGGTTTGCCTCTGTGTAAATGGCATGGCAGATCTTAGCTGCAAAGGACTGAACTGGTTATACTAGGGATTGTAGCTTGTTGGAACATTCTATTGATAAAGTAGCAATAGACTTGTGTTGTTACATCTGTAGAAAAGGGGGGTGTTGAGGGTGGAAAATAATTCATAACCTGCAAGGCCATGATATGTCAGCAATACTCCATTTCTGGTCTGATCTGACTGCTGTAAAGATCAAGAATTGCAGGTGGAATCAGGTACCCCTTTAGCGTGTGGGAGATCGTGGATATCCACAATTTCTTATCCTTTGTAACTCTTAACAATGTTTCTCTTTTTACTATCCCTCCTACTCCCTATTTCACAAACTCATTAGATAGTCTTCAATATGTCCTGTGTCAGATTTTCTGAACCTTCTTTTTTCATTGTTTTCCCAGAAATTTCTATTGTATCTTTCTAAGTATAAGTGTCCTTTTCATTTACATTTTCCTTAAAACTTCCATGTATTTTATATGCTTCTTCCATAGTATTCTCAGTATCCATCTTTAGAACCATATCTGTTGTCTCAAGTCTCTTGTTCATCTGTGAGGGATACTTTGTTTAGCATTTGGAAGATATCTTTTGCTATTCCATTACACCTTCAGATTTTGATATCACACTATCCATCATCTGTTAAAAGACTTTCCAGATATTTAAATTCTGTATTGCTTGATTTTGAAATCTGCAATTCATAGCTTGTATTTTGCTTACAACCATACATTGTCTTTTCTTACAATTGATGGTTAGTCCTTTCTTCCTTCCTTCTTTCTTTTACTACCTTTTCTAGTAGTTCCTGCAGTTTTCTTTCTGTGTCTGCCATAAGCACATTATCAACTGCATATCTGATGATGTTAATATGCCATACTAAAGTCAGTAAATATTTATGTATGAGGCATTTGTCATAGAACAAGTGAGTTTGGGTATCTCATACTTGTGGACTTGTACTAGAATAAACTAAATTTTGTAATAACATAAATGAATACTGTATACATACCTATGAAGGTACATGAAAGTACCTTTCTATAAGTATGTAGGCTATATGGTTTCATATAAGAGGTCCCTGCATACATATAGAAATTCCTAAGTACAAGGGGTTTAGGCTGTTTGGAGAGAGTTTGTAAGTATTTTGACAACTGTAGAATGAAGTGGGTAAACTTAAATAACTCATAATACAAATTTAGGGCTGGGGTCTGAGAAACAAGTCTAGTCACAATGACCAGTGTGAATATATTCATCAAAAATGTTGAATAATTCAGTCATAAATTCAATAAATTGCAGTGGATTACTTTCATTTATTTTGGGTTTTGTTGGATATAAAATAATTTCTTTGAAAGAAGCTGTCACACAACTTATACAAAAAGAGAAAAATTAACAAATTCAGGGCCAGGAGTTGAAGAAATCATTGCATCCTCTTCACATTTCCCTTTCCAATCCAGACCCCCATGGGCTGGTATACTGACATGTGCATTTTTATAAGTTAAAATATATGCATAGGTGAGAGTATCAACATATGTATATTTTTGCCTTTAGTGCATGGATGTTTGTATTCTGTGTGTATGACTGTGAATGTATATGTTTAAAAACAAATTAGAATACAATTGGAACTTGTATATGAGGGAGAATACATCGATGAATGTGTTTTTACACATTTAGTGAAGATCTCTGTTGTTCTGCTTGGTATTTTAAAAAATAAATTTTTTACAAGAAATGCTTCCTTACCACAACTTTATATATATATATATATATATATATATAAACCTGCAATATTGAAACTGTCTATTCTGAAATAAAAAGCAAGTACCATCCGATTATATTTCCATCAGTTTGACATTATTAGAAAAAAGATGGAATTATCTTTACAGCAGTATGAAATTCATATATTTTATAGCACTATATTAGTTATTCAATGTTTTTAATTTATATTATTGTTGCTGTTCAATACATATATTGTTTTTTCATTTTCACTAAATGCATTTTGACAGATATAGTTTATTTGCTACTTTGTAATTCATCTTATCAGGAGATACTCTTCGTGTTTCGGTTAAACTATCTGAAATTTTCTATTTTTAAAGTGGGAATCATATAACAGAGTTCAAATTACTATCTTGTTAATAATAATAATTATTATTATTATTACTACTACTACTATTACTACTTTCACCACCACTATAAATATTTATGACAATTTCCCTATAATAAATCCTCAGTCTTTGGTTATGATAATACATTTTGCAATGGTATACCTTTGCAAATTATATTTTTTTTAAAAGTGAAATCATCCTTTTCTTCCATATAGCTATTGTTTTTATTTCTTTAATAATTTACTGTAATATGGCTATGGGGAAAGAAACAAAAACATTGTCTATAGATACAGTCTAGATTTTTGTAAATATATTCTAATATTTTAAAATAATTTATTTTCATACATTATTTAATCTTGCTGAATGGCAAAGAAAGTTAATAAAAGCTTAACAGAATGATTACTGGGTCCAAAAATTGTAAAGCAACTTTGATAGTAATATTGATATGTAGGTGTGAGCAAGCATATTAATATAGAGATTAAAATATCTTAATATATGCAATAAAAGGAAGATAACATCTTTATTGGGTTGAAAATACTATTTTGATAGGTCTGGCTTGTTACATGACTGATGCAGTCTTCCTACTTCATGCATTATTGTAAATACAAGGGCATAATTATTAACTATATTTGCCTTTTTACAACCTTCATTTTACTATGACATGATTATATAGCTTTTTCCTTTTGGATCAGATTCTCAGTTTTTTTATTCCAATTCTGTATCTCATTATTTTTAAGTTAGAATAATGAAGGCAGGTATAAAAGCATTACCTCAATATTTTGTTAAGTCATTGTAAGAAGAACAATATTTAATGATATATATATATATATATATATATATATATATATATATATATATATATATACACACAAGTTTTATTAAATTCCACTGACAAAGTCTCTATTCACCATTTTATTATAGCTTTCCAATTCCTGAATGAGGTATTGTACATTAGAATTGACGGTATCAATAACTCATCCTATATTTGTTCCTGTTATATTCAACTACTTTGGACTATCATAGTCATTGTCAAAAACTAGGTGTTATCAGCATGGTAAGCAAGATTTGTTAAAAGTCATGAGTTTTCCTGGGTTTGATACTGGAATGGTTTCCTGTTGCTTTCTCCATAATGATTTATTGACTAACCATCTCTAGTTAATTGTCTGTTGACTCATTAAGAGCTCTTCCACCCTTTGATAGGTCTTATTTTTCACCCTACACATAAGAAATTGGAGTGGAGTGCTGGTTTAGTCACTGACCATCCAACAATAGCATACTTCTTAAAAAATTTTTTTTTTTAATTGCAATCACCCCATGCAAGGCAGTAATACCACTAAAACACAAGGGATACAGGGCATGGAAGAATTAGGAACAGAAACATTAATGATGAGCAAAAAGAGAAGAGAGTAATCATACATATATATAACCATGCACATGATGAAAAGGAGACAAAATACAATGCCATGGTATGACACAGAATATAGGTCTCTGTACAAAGAAATTAGAAATAAATGGAGGCAGGCTAAAGAGGAATGGCATATTCATAAAAAAAAGAGAACTAACAAGACAAAAGATATGCTCATGAAAAGAATGCATAAAATCTAAGGATGGGATATTGACATTAGAGAAAGATAAAATACTTTTGAAGTTGAAAAAAATATATAAGAGAAATCTTCCATGACAAAAGAGAATGACCGGCAATAAATGATAAATATTGAAGGACCAGAAATTTTAATATCTGAAGTAGAATCAGCACTAGCTAAATTGAACAGAAACAAAGCAATAGGACCAGACGGAATTATGATTGAGATGCTATCAGCCCTAGATGATTTCAGCATTGACATGATTACAGACATACAATAATGGTAATATACCAGAATACCTAAGTAGATCCATTTTCATAGCACTGACTAAGAAGCCAGGTGCAAACGAATGTGAACTCCATTGGACAATCAGCCTAATGAACCATGTACAAAAATTAACTGAATTCTGATGAATAGAGTACATAGCAGAATCAGACCAGAAATAGGAGAAGAACAGTACAGATTTGTTACATACACTGGAACAAAGAATTTAGTATTTATGCACAGAATGATATCAGAAAGAGCAATGGAAGTGCAGAATGTGGCAGACTTGTGTTTTATAGATTATGCAGAAGTGTTTGA